TTTGGTTTGGCGAAAAAAGTTTTCATCTTTTTTAAAATTCGATATCTTTTTACTGCAATCTTCAACACTTTTCCTTACAATATCATAACAAAATTTTTTACAGCATTCTTTAGTTTATTAATTGATCGCGATTTAGATTATGGTCCACTCCAATTTATCTCCTGGTTCAATTTGTCTCAAATACTATAATTCATTTGGGTTGAAGTCAGAACTGTTGTAAATCGACATTAATTAATTAAGTAAGGCATACTGTAAAAATATTTTATCATGATATTGTAAGGAAAAGTGTTGAAGATTGAAATAAAACAAAATATATAGTTTTAAAAACGATGGGAGCCACAGATGGAACCGGTTTACCGGCGAAAACCGGTCAGATCAGTTTATCGACCTAAACCGATTTAACGGGAAAAGCTAATCTGATCGGTCTACCGGCCAAAACCAGCCTACCGGTACTAAACAGGATGCTGATGATACGCCAGTTTATCAGAGAAAATTCGACATACCGTCAAAATATCGGTCTACAGACAACAGGCTGAGGCTTGAAATGAAACCTTGTTTCATGGTGAACTCTCTTGCAGGCTACCTTCATACATTCACGCATAATGTCATAATGCTTCACCGTTGATAACAATAGTCTCACTGATGGGCATTCTGAAAACTATTTGTTAAATAAATTCGTGTGTGATCAGTGGAACTAGTCTTGGTTTCAGTTGTTTTTTCATGTGAATACCATCAAAGAGCAGGAAAGTGAAAAATTTAGACCGGTATAAGGCGGTTTCGACCGGTTCAGACCGGTACCGGTTGCATCTCTGATGGGAGCTTTTTCGCCAAATAAAATTTAAAGTTGGAAAAGAGAGTTCTTTGAAGAACCTACTAAAAAAACTGACTCTATAGCTTTAAAAGAACAGATGATATGATCAAAATAAAAGTGTTCAATTTTCTCTGGGCCACCCGATAAATGTTTACACTTGATAAGTACTTTCTATTGAAAATGAATACTATCAAGCAATGTTCTGTCTTAATGAGGAATATTTATTTCTGCTTTGGGGTAGGCCAACTTGCCGAATACTATATCATCCTCATAGGCACTACGTTGTAATTAAAATGCACACCGCTGAGTGCTGCGGAGTGTATAACGTATTCATGGGTGGAACAAGGAAGGGTTTGGTCCGAAATTCCGATAACTTTTAAGACGTGCGAAAGTGCTGACCTCCACATCTCAGAAACCTCAAAAGTTGTATGAGTCTTATTCACACTCTCTGTGGAACTGCCATAATAAAGTCTTCTTGAATAGAAGTAGTTTTGTATTTTATGTAGGAAAAAGGCTTGTTTTTCACTAATGGAAGTCTTTTTTTGACTCAAGAGGTTTTCCACCTCCTTTTTTGATGATTCAGTTCAAAGATTTAACCGACCGATCTGATTCAAAAAACTTCAACTGATTCCAATGCCATTACAAATGTGTGTTTACGGGCGTGACTGTAGATAGGTGGTTCTTCACCTTGGAGTGGTTGTTTTGGTATTAGTCAGCATGCAAGTATGAGTATGAGTGAGGAGTGCAGATGTGAGTGCTGGAAGTTCTGGTTTTGATGTAGTGATGATTATGACTGTTGCTATGACTATAAATGTAGACCTATCCGTAGTCTCAAATCTGTACATTTCTTGAGAAATCCTGAATGGACTTGTCAAGTTTTTGTCAGGATTCTGTCTTAAATCCTACGAATATCTGCTCTCAGCATTACTTCAGGCTCCTGTCTAGATTTTTAAAATTATGAATGCAGGATCCTATCAGGATTTACTCTCGATCCTATTTAAGATCCTTACAGGAATAATATAAAGGATTCTTCAAAGATTTGATCAAATTTTAGTAAGTATCTTTATTGCGAATCCTGATACAAAGATTCTGTCAACTATTGTTGCTCAAGCAGAGGAGGATCTCAATAAAAATAAAACAAAATAGTATAGCTGTGGCTGTGGACTAAAATAAGATGAACCCTCATTCACACTCATTCGCACATCCATCGTATCAAAATCATGAATGATTCCTAGCTACACATTTCTTCCAGGATTTCGAGGTTTCTGACCGAGCTTTGTTTCAAAAATAGTGGCGAACCGTTCAGGATCCTGATTTAATTCTGTTTCAAGGCTTTTTAGAATCTAGAAATTCTGTGAGGAGATGCTTTCTTTATGACTTAGTTCCTTCCTCAATGAAAGAGCTAATCGTTGGAGGATCATTATTGGATCCGCTAAGGATCTGAAATCAGTAAAGCAAAAGTCCTTGTCATAGTGCTTTACTTTTTATACTGATCGTATATCTTGGGATTCAGTATAAATAGATAGAGAGATTCTGAAAAAATTCTACAAACCGTCTTTGTGACACTTTTCTAAATTCTTTATGAAATTAATATAAGATTCTTTCGGCATAAAAATAGTCCTTTTAAAATTTTTCTGCTGAAAAGAAGTTTGCGAAATTATGAGATCGAGGCATTAATATCGATTTCATTGTCACTATATTTTTGTCATTAAATAGTAGCTTTTGGCATCAGTACATTCTCGGGTTAAAGTTGTTCATAGTTTCATTTATTTATGAGAAACAAATAGAAGTATATATTTTAACTGGCATTGAAATTAGCTAAAAACTCGTACAATTTAATCAATTGAAAAAATTCCTACGTGGAATTGCATTTTTAAGTTTTGAGACAAATTATGTTCCGTAAAACTCAAAGAGAAATGTTGATTGAAGTCAGAATTTAAAATACTGAATATTAAAGTTACATACGATAACACGGAACATTCCAGCCAGGTAAGCTAATCGGTTTGTATACTGACGGTCTAGAGATGAATACTGCATATCCATATTCCTTTTCTGTTCTATTTAGATAATCCTGCAAAGATCGCGTCAATAAATTTGATAATATCCTTGAGTAAAGCAAGAAAAAATTCTGTGCAATTTAGATAAGAATTCTGCTTTTAATTAGGAGTCATCGAAATCCTGACAGAATCCTGATGTAAAAACAATTGTAAATCTCTCAGGATGCTGATTGACTCGTGTTTCTAACGTTGTCTGGATCCTTCAATTCTGTGGCTACACGTTTCATATAGAACTTCGTAGTTTTCTGAACAATTCATAATCCAAAAATAATGGCACATCGTCCAAAGTCCTGATTGAATCCGATCAGGAACCTGACATTCTGTAGCTACACATTGTCTTTAGAATTTGGTCGTTTTCTCAGGAAAAAAGAGCGACTCCTGAGAGATTCCTTAGTGGATCCGATAATGATCTGAAACGGAAACGTAAAGTATTCTCAATAGAGATGGGTGTTTGTGTGTTTGCATGTATCAGAACAAATATGGTTGTGGGTGACACAAGAACAGAAACATATCCACATCCTACATTCAAAACTTAATTTTTGTTACACCTGTATCGACACTTATATTGATATTCAGAATAGTCCATGTCTACCATTTTTCCTGGCAACTGTTGTTTATGTTTTTGTTGAAATAAAATATGATTTTCCTATATGGATTTCTATGCTAATGTCGATTTTTTCCAAATATCAGAGAATTCTTGTCAACAACGGAAAGAGGATTATGAGCACTTAAATATTGCTGATTGAACAGGTGGAAAATTTCTTTAAGTTCATAAAAAGAAAACTTTTCTGCTATGCAAAAGATCAATTATATTTTATTTCGATGACTAAAAGTCCAAATCTATCTTCTCATATCAGTTTGTTTTGTTTTATCTAATTAGCGAGTCAAAGACAGTTGAAATGTAAGTATTGATCTATGACAACATGATCATTTGAAGTACTTTTAAGCATTGAAAGAAAGATTATACCTTTTAACAGATCTGTGATGTCGTTTTCTATAATTTTCAAATGAATATTTGTTAATCTTTGAAACGATAAATAATTTGACAAGTGAAAACTTCCAGTTGTGAATCACAACACGTACTTTTCAAATTTAGAAGGTGTTGATTGAATCGTATGCTAAGAATGTCACTTTATTCAGAAAAAAGATTTAATATTTCGACTACAAATCAAATTGATCAAAAGTTTCCTATCAGCTAACATAGATAGAATAAAGCAGTAAAGTGAGCTTCTGACTACAATAGTTCGTTTTTGTTTGTCATTTTCTCGATCGAATCAATAATGCCTAGCATCAATAAATAATTTTTTCGTATTCTTTTTTTTTCATCAATCAAAAACAAGAAAAAAAGGAACGTGGCTCACATTGATGTTCGGCTTCTTATGCATTATTAATAATTTCATTCGATATAATGTTTGTATACTCTAGAAACAAAAGTAATTAAAAATTTTTATTTCAATGCGTTGCTAAAGAACCTGTTTCTTTTTGATCATTAACATATCCATTTTTTCATCTTCAAATATAGGTATTAGGATTTTGTACGAACATGTTATGACAGATCACAAATAGATGAAATTCTTTTTATCAACACCAACGATAAATAAATATGAGAAATAGATTACAAAGTAGTACAATTAAATAAAAATATGAATCTACTTTTTGAAATATTTCTAATATATGTGATGTTTCGATATTTATGTATCAATTGTCATTATTAGACCGTTGCTCTTATATGAAAGAAGTTTTTTTATTTATATTGAAAATCCTATATTTAGTCTTGTTAGGTCTGATTAAGATTTGATAATCTTAGACAGTGTGAGATCGTAGAATATCAGAAATATTGGATATTCATCATGTCCCACAAAACTAAACATTTGATTTTTCAATATACGTAAATAAAATTTTTTTATTCAGATTAATAACAGTTTGATGATGAGAATAGATGAATAAATGTCGAAATATCATTTATGTTAGAAATATTTGAAAAAATAGATTGATACTACTAGCTGTTCTATGTTATGTCATTCATTACAATTATATGACATCTGCTCAAAAAAACTTCATTTTTTTTTAATATAAACAAATACTTTTGATTACATCAGTTTTATCAGTTGTAAAGAGTTATAGAAAATACAATGGCTCTGTCATGCATTCCATATACAAAGAGAAGTGAGCCAATCCGAACACGACGTCGATCAAATTCTCCACCAACTCCAGTAACACCGACAAATGCCGTGATAAATGAGGAAAAAGAAATCGACTATTCATCTATTGTTCAACAGCAAATTGATGGTAAGTTATTATAATATATATCTATCTTGATTAATCGAATTTGAAAACAGGCACTCGACTTCAAAAGAACATTCGATCGATGGTTAAAGAAATGGGTGATATTCAAAGAAAATATTTCAACAATTTGAAAGCATGGAGTAGAAAATGGAGTTGCACATTCGAACAAGATACTTCTTCGCTAGCTTCTTATGAAACCACACAACGTATGCTCTCATCCGTGAGCTCAATTGGTCATGAATTGGCCAAAAAAATTGATCATTCACATCGTGAACTTCGACAAGTTTTAAATTTAATTCCACGAGAAGAACCATATCTATCCCGACAATCTCAGCTTGAACAAGCACGTGTACCAATCAATCGAGCTGAAAGTGATTCGAAAGCGTACAATAAAAAATTGACTAAGCTCAACAATCAACTACGTCGAATTAAAAATCAACTACAAGATGCATCATCAAATCACACAGAAAAATCTGAGTTGAAAATTCAACAACGATATGTAGAGGATAGTATTGAACACGCACAAAAGGACGTTGAGCATGCCAAAAAGCTATATAAACAAGCTGAGAAAAACTATCGCAAAGATACTGATGCCATATTTGAACAAAGCCAAGAAGATGAGCTCGATCGGCTGGAATCATTACGTGATCCGTTAGTAGTGTTTCTTGAAGCGTTCGAAATAAAACATGGTTCTTGGCAACAAGCAATAGAAAATCATGATCCCAAACGAGATCTCAATGCATGGAAACAGAAATACTTTTCTCAAAAAATCATATTAACAAACATACAATAAAATATGGTCAATACAGCTTTTCTAATAGACTTTATCTCTTGTTTTTCTTAGTTTATTAATAAAAATATGAATAAAGTCTCGAGTAAAATTCGATAGCTTTTTGTGTGCTTCAATAATCCAAAGACTCCATAGTGTCGATTATTTCACAGATATCATTATATACAATGGAGGTCTGCGCGGATACAACTTTTGAGGCTCTACAAGGTACATAACTATGAGGATCATAAAAGACCATAAACAAAGGTTCATGTCGCTGTAAATCATCCTTATGATAGGAACAGTTTTACAGTCGTATGACAGCCTGTCGTCTACAGCTTGTTACACACGTCGTTTACATTAATATCTGTACTATAATATGGTTATATTCTAACGGACACGGTAGGACACACCGACGTTGATGAGGGTATTTCAAACTGTAAATCTCAATACTAAAATTAACTTTTAATAAATTTCTATTTCGCTAAATAGCGAATCTATCTGATTTTGCAGCATAAAAAAGAGCAACATGAGCTTATCAGTGCCTATGCGACATGTACTATTTTAGTGTGCTATTGCAGATCATCCATCAATAAAGTTTCTTTATAGTATACGAATTATTTAATTATTGCATTTTCGAAGGACTAATTAAAAGGATGGTGAAGAAATGTGTTTCATAATAAAATAATCACACTGTAATTAGCAACAGCAGCTATACCATATTTCACATTTCAATCCCACGGGAAATATGCTAATAGCTTTTGTTTTTATGAAAAAGTACGATTCGAAAAACAGTATTATTATTGTTTTTGTTGTATCTGGTAGTGCAACCAAGTTAATGCATAATACAAATGCAAGAAAAAAATGTCGACAATGAACATAATAATAAATACTTTTCTGTATTTCTTTTCCAATTCATTGTATGCAGTTTCTTAATGAGAAAAAACTCTAAACTTTACAATCGTTCGCTCACATGAATTCATCTTATGCAATATCTTAAATGTCGTTTGAAGTAGGTTCTACTTAAATATGTACTGCTCTTCACCCTTACATACTCCAGTTTGCATACTTTATTAAATGCGTCATATGTGAAAGTGATCATGAAAACAACGATTATTATTATTGAATATGACCATTGGAAAATGTTAACACGCGATGCATAATTGATGGTGTGCAAGTCTTGGTGCAAAATGTTCGTTCATTCTTAGCCACTTTCGAAGCAATAGTTGAGACTCAGAATCAGTCTGTTTGAATAAAATTATTAGATACTTTTCTCGCATATATCTTATAAGTTCCTTCTCACGTAAGGTTGATCAAGTACGAACAAATTTTCCGAACGGTGTCGAAAATGATAGTCGGACAGCATTTAATTTTTTATTGATTTGAAATTTCGACTGATATCTAATTAATAGAATATGTGAAACAGTTTTTATAGTTTAATTTTATAGACTAAGAAAAAAATTTTGATGCTATATAGCTATTTTTTTCTGATTTTCACCTTTTACTTATTTGAAGTTCGAGATCTGCGACGTTTGTTCATCCTAATATTTGAAGAATTAATTAGTTGTTATATCAAGATCTTAACTAAGAAATTAAGATAGACTGAACTTCTGTACTCGAAAAATATATCGCTCCTCACTTATTAATCAGCACATGGCTTATTTTCTTTCTTCATTCGAACACCTAATAATATTTGAAGAATTCATTAAAATTGAAGAGCATGATGCTAACTAACGACCTCTACGTAATAGTTGATTAAAAAATATAAGTATCTAAAAAATTGATAAACTTCTTTCTTATAAAAGTCTGGAAAAGTATTTAAACGCTAAATAACTACTAATGTTTCAATGTTGAATAATATCATCGTTCTTAGCAACAGTAATAAAAATGGTAGATGTTATTGACTGATGCCTTCGGCGTAATAGAGAGCTTTTTATAATTTCAATTTTATAATTTTTTTTATTGATAATGTTCAAACTACCTGATCAAGTTCATGCTGAGATTCATCATACTTCGCTTAATAATAAATATACATCGGATTTTGAATCTGAAGATATAAATGCTTGGACTAAGTAAATTTGTTTTTGAAATATGTTCAATTTCTTAAAAAACTTACTATAAAACTTAGGTTCTTTGATGATTCACACACACTTAATGAAGAAGATCGTTATCGAATAAATCATATATTTAATAAACTCGTAACAAACACTGTTAAATATGAGCGGTAACTTGTTTTTAAGGAATCAATATTTTTTCTATGAACATATTTTCTCTATATAGAGAACAAGATTTTCAATTACTCGAAGCATTTGCTAAGCGATTATTATCTACTGATAAAAATCGAAAGGAAAATGAGGAACCATTCATCTTAACATCATTTGATCAAGAACGATTAATAAAACTTCGAACAATTTGCAAACGTTTAAAACATTATAATTCTATTGAAAAATTACTTTCCACTTTGTTCACTCGAGTATTTTTATTATAGATTTTTATTTTTTCTAAAAAATTATTTTGTTTTCTTTTCTTCAGGATAAATCACGCAATTTAATTCTTCCACCAATTAAGAAAACAACTCATCAAACACGTTCATCATCTCTTTCCTTTGATGATACTCATATTGCTTTACCAGTCAACAAGAAACAGAGAATATCAGACATCGAATCTCCAACTTCAGTAAGTAAACTATTCTATTCATATTCACATAGAGATTACATACAAGTAAAATTCGTATATATAATTATTTAGAATGATAGCCATTAACTTTTTTTAATAAGTATAATAAAAAAATCTCGCTCTTTATGCTTTGTATTTTTTTCTTTTTTGAAAATTTTTCTGTTGAATAAAAAGAATACTCATTAACATGATTTATTTAGATTCATTCGAAATCGAAACAAATAATGATGCATGGTCCAATAACATTACAAAATATTTATCAAGCAATACCAGCAGCAACACTTCAATTTGCTGAAGGTTAATTCATTATCAATCTTATAAAAAAAATTTAAAATGAATTTTTTTCTAGATGAATATGTTTGGCATGCTAATCGTCCCGTAAATATGATATTAGCAACAGGAGTTCAATTACCAAATGTTTTAACAGAATCACCAATCAATACTAATATTGAAAGTGAACAATTCTTTTCGAAAATGATTGAAGATATTATTCTTGAATATGAGAAACGATATCCAAGTGATCATTATGCAGCATTAAAACAATGGAAACAAAAACATGTAAATGAAAATATTTACAAATAATTCGATTTTAAGTCAAAGGGAGGATTATATTTGAAAAACATTAGAAATGACATCAGAGTTTCTTTATCAACTTTATAATTGTTTCTAACAGATTCTATATAAAATTATATTGATAGTTTAAATCAATTCCTAACTCTTCAATAAATGCTCACAACAATGAGTTTTCAATAAAACTAAGCATAGACAATATATAAACTAGGATTTAGAAGAGAAACAAAAAAAGAACTAAACTAGTCGCTAAATAATTGATCAATCAAGTTCTATTTTTGGTAAACAACACGAATGTACGTAGAATATAAGACAATGGAAAATAAGTAAACAAGTTGAAAATGAAACTGTTAATAGTTTTTCACTTTATACTGGTATTCATAGACGTAGATATTTTTCTATGCGTACCATTTTAGTCATCACTTGAATATATTGTAAGATTTCTTTTAATCTAATGTTTCGTCTCTCCGAATGACTTCTCATGAAAACATTGAAAAGAGTACGAAGCATTACATTTGAACAAACTCAATGTTCGTCATAATCCTAACGCTGTTGTGAATATCTAGAAATAAAATATTCAGTAGAAAGATATTCTTTGAAACATAATTTGCTATGTAAACATCACGTTTATTTGAAGGAAAATGATCAATACACTCAATCAACAACACCTCGTCGAATGAATGGATTCGAAACACTTATTGATGTTGTTCAACGACGTCATTTAGGAAAATTACAACGATATTTTCTTAATGTTGTTTCAACTAATCGTCATTTTAATCCATATGATTTAATTACAGTTCCTGAATATAAAGTACACTTTTATTTATTTGATAATTTAAAAATAATCTTTTCGTTTTTTTTGTTTTTTTATTTACAAGGCTGATCCAGAAAATCATTATGTTTTTTCAGTATTTGGAATATTGAATATTCGACAAAATGGACTTGATGTGGAATATTATGAATTAGCTGAATGGTATAGACATGCTAAACTATGGCATGCATGTCGACAAATACCTTTTTTCAAAAACTATCTTATCAGAAAAGAATTTAATTTGTAAGTTTTTTGATCCATTTTCAAAAAAAAAAACAAAAAGAAATTTTCTTTTCAATAGAACAACACTTATAAAAGATATAAAAATCATCATTCTCAATGAAATACTTTTTGATTCAGAAAAAATTTCTTTTTATTTATTTGATTATCAATATATCCAATTTATGACGATAGCCTTCTAAAAACTAGCACTAGCCTATCGATCGAAAATACGTGATGCAAAGAGTTCTACATTGAGACTTCTATAGCTTATCATTTGACAATAACAAGAAAATAAGAAAATATTTTGATTGTTTTTTTTTATTTCGAAAACTATATCACCTCATCATGGAACTTATTTTTCTAAAAATCAATAAATGTCTACTACAAAGTAAAATAGATTGAGAACTATGTTAAAGATTTACTGCCAAATTTTAATCAAATCAAAAAAAAACACAAATATTCTAATTTTTAAAAACTATTTTTTTCTTATTAGATGGTTATCTAATGCTCGATTTTCTCGATTTGCTCGACGTCGATCTGAAATTAGTAAAACACATCTTTTATTAATGAATAATCGTATATTTCAAATGGCATTATTTGAAATTCGACGAGTTATACTTGAATATCAACAATTAACATTACTTCCAAAATTATTTACGTAAATTAAATATTTCATTGAATATCTTTAATTAATAAATTTAATTATTTTAGAGGAATGACATTATCATTAAATGATTTTGAAATA